TTACAGCACTTACACACGACATGCTGTAACATTGAAATGGCTTCCCATAAGAATGGTTATCGTATGAGTGGGAAACGCACGCGTACTGTTACAGCACTTACACGGTACCACATGCTGTAACATTGAAATGGCTTCTATAAAAATGGTTATCGTATGAGTGGGAAACGTACGGTACTGACTTACAGCACGTACACGGTATGACATGCCGTAACATTGAAATGGCTTCTATAAAAATGGTTATCGTATGAGTGGGAAACGTACGGTACTGACTTAGGCACGTACACGGTACGACATGCTGTAACATTGAAATGGTTTCCCTCAAGAATGAGACGTACGGTACCAACTTCAGTTCCTACCGATATGTTCCTCGTTTCCCACTGTCACTTCATTCCTTGACTATCCATCTTATCTATCCTCCAACCTTTCAACTCACACAAAGCATAAATATATACAATAATCTACAGTAATAGTAATATCCAATCGCTTCCTCCGCTTATTCGCTAACACATTCTTTATCAGTTACATAAGCCTGGATCAGGATTTCCGTGGCAGACATGACATGGCCGTGTTACACCTTGACACYGCTACTCCTAGAAACCTTTTCAGATATCGCCATTATTTTTGTTATTCAGAATTCAAACCCCTTTAGCTGGCAAAACTACGTACGCAGTTAGTTTCAAGAAGACTAATACGATATTGAAAATAGGGTTTCTAATCAACCAAGCTACGGTTGCTATGTCCCCAAAGCTCAAGAACTCGGTAACAAAAAGAGATGTTTTTAATACGGAAGCCRTGGTGTAGGGTAAGAATAGAACTGTTTTTTTTTTTTGTTTCCCAGACATGACATTTTTCTATTATCTTTTCCTGTAACTCAACTGCCACTAGTTGTTCTGTACCTTCCTTGTCAAATGCTACTAACTTCTAAGCCTTCCTGTTTKCGGGCGGGACTGCCGAGAGGGGGGTCGGGCTGGTGCAACATCTTTCTCGTATGATATTACCCGTGGTTAGTTCTAATGGATCAGAATGGATTTCGTATGGCTGTAAAACGCTTAGGATATCAGACACTCACGACACGACATACGATTAATTTTCTTAAGAGAACAAGTTTTTCAAGACTAAACCAAACACGCTAAATTCTGCTCAGGGGTTGTTAGAGTCCATATTATTAATTAGGGCAAAGTTTCCTATCTAGTCTACGGTTTACTGAACTTACTATACCTCATTAGATTTTTTTTTTCAAATCTGTGCAATTTCTTACGACAAAATTGTAGCCATTATTTTTGTAAACAAAGCCATTCTTTATTGAATTTTGCAAATATGGTTTAGCAAAACCTTCACACTGTGACTGCAGCACAGAAAAGAAAGTTTTTCCTTCACCCCACCTGTGGGGAATAATAAGCGTCTGGTCCATTTGGGGATTTTTTTAACGACTTTTTGTCTCTTTTTTTTTTACAAGGAAATTAATCACAATCCCAAAATATTAACAATAAAAGGTTTAAATCCCTCAATCCCATATCACTTTAGATAACTTCGATCTTTAGCTAAAATTTTGATCCTTAGTAAAACTTCAAAACTAAAATATGCTAAGATATTTTAAGTCTTTTTTCTGTACATGATGATAATATAATTACAAGATCTCGGAATCCCAAAAATACCTCAAAACTACTGTTATATACAATAAATATGGCCGAGGTATTCAGATTATCTTTTGGCTTCTCTGACCATTTGAGTTCCATTTTTGGTACTAAACTAATAATAAAACCAGGTTTATATATGTTGAAATTTCTTCAGAAAAATGTCTTGGAAGTTAGTTCTGTAAGTAATCGCGATGAATGTTCTATAAAAAGAACGAAGTATTGTCATCCGTGGTCAAGTCTGGTACAGTCTGATCTGCTATCTTCTGGTCCACTCGGCAGGGACTGTTAATCGGGAACGTAGAGTTAAACCAAGGATGTTCRAGAATCTCTGAAGCCGTTAATCTTTCGATAGGATCTCTTCTCATCATCGAACGAATCAAGCACTTGGCCTTGGAAGAAATCGTGTCTGGAATAGCGAAGTTTCCTCTTCGTATTTTCGAAAATAGAGCCGATGGCTCGCTGTCATGAAATGGGTAGCGACCAACGATCATTGTATACAGCATTACACCAAGGCTCCATATATCGGCAGCTTTTCCAGAGTATCCTCCAGTCGACTGTAAAATCTCGGGGCTCACATATGCTGGACAACCATGCTTGTCTTCTAATGTGTCGTCTTCACCATTCAGAAGACATGCGTCGTCCAAGCCTTCTAATTTTACTTTACTCCTATGGAGGAAAAATTGGATAAATTTAAATTTAAGTCTTTAAGTGAAAATGTTTTTTTTTACAGAAAAAAAACCTTTAAAACTAAAAAGAGTGAGTGAGAGCTATTCTTAGAAACATATTTTTTCATTTTATATATTAAGTTAAAAGTTATATTTATAGCTTAGGATATGTTGTGCAATAGGTCTGTAGATTTGTTACCAAGATACTAGGAAGTGAATATGATATCTGCTCATTCAAACATTGCACCACAACGRCTATCAAGAATAAGACGATGATGAAATAATATTTGATCTTGTGAAATAGATGATGAAACGCAAGTGCAATTGCTAGGAAACTAGATCGTATTCAAAAGAAATAAAATACATTTTTGGTTGAATAAAAGAATTAGAGCAATGTAAGAGATTCAACAGAATATGTAAACTTAACTAACAAAAGAGCAATCCACAATCTTTTGAACAATGGAATACTATAAATGAAAGTTAAAAAGGCTGCATCATCAGAAACCAGATTAACCATTACTTTAAATCCAAATATGATAAAGTTGAAAACATTTTTGAAAAAAAAAAAATGTTCAATAAATTTGGTTTGTTAATAAACTCTTTTACTGAAAATTATGTAGTATTCACGAAAACCCTTTGTTGAAAAAGCTTAGATTACCATTTGGGGTATATTCCTTTGTATGAATGAATTGAGAATAAGGAATGGTTGAATTATTAGAACAGATTTTAAAATCTATACTAATTGTAATGCTTAATTGAAAAAATGCCTGAGAGCAGTATAAATTGGAAGTAAATGCATGTATATGTATAAATTCAAGTCAACATTGTCTTGAATAGACTTCCTCATGTGGGCTGCACATAGTGGGATGGCGTTTGAATAATCGAAAGGTGTAAATGATATCATTCCATTTTAATGAAAAAGAAACAACAATCCTAGTCTCATAATCTGAATAAAGCAATTTTTCTATTTTTTTAATAGCTGTTTGTAAAAACATATGGAATAAGTGTGAGATTACGATACYGTAACAAAAAGACAAAAGATTTCCTGCACATGGAAACTCGAGTTGAACATTCAATAAAGATTTTTGGACTAAAACTTCCAAATTATTAATTCTTGAAAATTTCAAGGCTTAGAACATGATATAGCAATAATATTAGCAGGAACCAAGTTACTTGAAAAGGGGAACAAATAGCTTTAAATTCTTAGAAAGAAAAGTTTCAAGTACTATTAAGAATAACAGCATGTGCTTTTATGTTTTTCAAGATTTTTATCAATTAACAAGTTATTTTCTCTTTGCCTTGAAGGAAAAGGTAGAAAAACGAACTGAGTTTGTGGTAAAAAAAATTATGATCTTCACAACTACAATAAAGAATTAGTGAGACTCCAATAAAATTGAACAAAGCCAAAGATCTATTGTTAGCATCAGAGGTGAATGCCTTTGTTTAAGATTACAATTATTATSTAGTCTTCTTTGTTGGGCTTCTCTGAAGGGGTTTGCCATGAAGTTCCCTCAAAAGACCACTGCAGCAGACCTATACATCTGCTGTTCTTACACATAAAGCATGTGGTTTGTTGTAGCACATGGGGCTGCACTAGCCTTCTGTAGAGCTAACAATTACCGGGGCTTTCTTAATTCTAAGCATAAAAGACTAGAAAACTATTGGATCAAATGGCACCTTAACAAAGTACAAAACAACAAACAAATGCATCAGAAAAATAAAGACTTTAGTCCTAAATACATTCAATAAAAAAAATTTTTTTTTTACTAAGAACCGACAAAAAAAAGATGTAAAAATTTCTAAATTTTGRTGCAGTTTTAGGTATCCAAATTAAGTAAATCTAAAAATGTTAAGTAAATACAATCTTGGAGACACTTCTTATGTCAGYCTTGAGCTCTAAAAGATTTAAAACAGTTAATACAAAAACACTTCTTAATTCAAGTTAGTCTAGGTGGAAATCCACTTCTTTTGTTGAGAAACAATCCTTTTGATGAAGAAATCACTTTGTCATTTGTTAGAACAGGCATTAGAGCTTTTTTTGTTCTCTATTACCTCAGGGGCACATAAAAATTGGTTAAAAAGACACACCCTAAGGTATGGTTGTACCATGGATCTCAATTAGTCACATGGAGATGGACAATACCCTATAAATAAAATTAGCCAGTAATATCATAACTACAATCAGGATTATACTCATTATAACTTTGGTATTGTGAATGAAAATCTAAGTACTTTTACACCAAAAGAAAAAAAATTCTTAAATTATTGTAATCTTAGGTACAGCTTTAAAAAAATCATCACTGTTTGGAAGAAAGATCGTTTTAGGAGTTTTACTAGTATTTTATAAGTTTGTTTATTCGTTAATAAATTTGTTGTTACAGACACAGATTCTTTGCCACGCTTTCCAACGAGGTAAAAAGAACAAAGTCAGCGCGTGAAGTGCCCTTTGTCAATTGTTCTCGAGTTTATAAAGAGCCCAAATACTTGTAAAGAGATTGGAAATAAACACGTGGCTACTAGAGCTGGCAAACGTACGATTTGGTCTTCGATGCCACGTGTTTTTACGTGCCACGAATCAAAAATGATTTCATAATCAAGCAAGCTTACATTTCTTTCTTAAAACTGGAACCAAGAAAAACAAAAATATAAAAAATCAAAAAAATATCGAGCAATGAATATTGCTCGGATTGATTTATGCTAATATAGTTATGAGCAGTCGATTCTTCTCACAGACACTATATGACGAAACTTCCCGCCATATTGCCTAATTCGAATTTTCTGAAGGATTTAAGTTGGAATCCCGCTATTTATTTAATGAAGTGAAAATAGACAAAAAAGCAAATAGTTTGAAGTCCGGTAAACAAAGGTGTTTCCTCTTAGGGACCTTTGGGATCTTACGCTACAAAACCCAGGCCGGAAGTGACTTCAGCGTTTAGATCTCATCGAAACAATGGCTGAACGTAGGTCACTTTTGCTCTCTGTGATACACAACCTAACTAATGTCGTATATAGAATTTTAAGACTAGAATAAAGCGATCCTCGTTTAAAAATATGAGAAATATTTATAGAATAGTTACTGCAGGTGACRGCATATTTGGGGTAAGGAAAAGAGAGTCGTCATTCATAACATTGGAGGACACGAAAGCGTTTTTTTTTTGGTCGTTATATGAATGTGTGACAATAAAACCCTGAAATTTACACAACACGCGAACATCGTATCGATTTCTTCATCGATTTCACCACAAATTAAAATCAATTTCTAGTTCGTAGAAAAGATTTAGAAAAAAATTGTTTTGTCAGGGCAAACATTTTTGTTTTGTTATGTGTCAAGTCAGTAATGATGTTACCTGACAACAAGCTGTAGAACAAAGCATTGCAAAGCACATACAACACTCATTTGGGTGACTTCCACGAGGTACCAAAATGAATCTAATCGAACAATGCCCAAAAGAATAGGCCAAAACCATATGGTTGAGAATTAAATGAACTTAGCTTCAACAAAAAAATCTGAGGCTCTTGTATATAAAACGTCAGCGCTTACCTTTCTTCGTTTTTGAACACAAACTTCCGTAGTTTGAGGTCCCTTAGGACGACTCCCGAAGCATGACAGTGAGCGACGACACTAGCTATCTGGCTAAAGATCTTGCTTGCTTCCTCCTCTTTCAATCTTCTTTTAGTCCTAACATAGCTGTGTAAGTCCCCGAATGATCTTTCAAAAAACACGTAAGCGTACGAATCGCTGACTAAGATCTCGTTAACCTTGTTAATGCCTTCGTGAGGGGCCAGATGAAACACAGGAGCCAAACTTTCACGAAATAAATTTACTTCTATTATCTTACATGCTAGCTCTTCTTGAGTCTCTGTATTTATGGCGCGATGAAGATTTCCTCCTCCAGAACGTTCGAGGATAATATATTTATCAACTTTACATATATGTGGGGTCTCTTTGACTCTTTTAGGCGGTGTTGGTTGTAAACCTATAGTCAGGTTTGGTAATGGCGCAGTCGTTTCAGTATTTGTTTTGGACGCATATCGCTGATATGGATGATACCGTACCGTCGAACTGTTCATCTAAATGACTTTAAAGAAACTACGAAGGAATTAGAACTCCGATATAATTTCTGCGTTGCTCTTGGACGGCTTTTGAGCGAACAGAAGAGCTTTGTGGCGACCTTCAGATATTCCGTATTGCCAACTAAGCACAATGACGTTGCACACAAACAGACCGTTGTGGTGATGGCGTAACTTTAAACAGTGATTTCCCTCGAAATCACTCTTTGTGTCGACTTGAGCTGTTGCTTGTACAGCCTTAGACCTCTACTTTAGACTTGGGAGGACCGTTTGGCCTTCCCTCTAACAGCTAAGTACGGAAAAACAGTACATTTTGTTGATATAGTGCTTGATATTTCTTGTCGTTGCGAAAGGGAATGATCGCAAAAATCCTGACGCAATGAGTTTAGTGTGTTGGATGGCCCCCTCCCATATATGGTGCTGTTACGTCAGTCCTCATGTCATCTGACGTTATATGAGTCCTCTGATTGGCTGCCTACACGAAAACATTGTTCATTAAAAACGCCACTTCCTGCAAATTAGAATTTTTAACCCTCGAGAGAATATGATTTTACGTGCCAGATTTAGTGCTATTTTATTTGAGGAAGCGAAAATTTCGTTAAATATGATTTAAGAAGGTTTGAGATACAGTTGAAATGAAGAATGTTTGATTTTTGGTCGAATATTGTGGTACAGTTCTGTTTTCGTTGTATATGTTGCCACATCACGCTTGCATTGTCACGAAACGAACGTAAACGAACTACACGCAATCAACGTGACATGAATGGATTGGTTCTCATATCGCTATTCAAGCGGAGAGAAAAGAATGAAAAGACAAATCTGGAAATTTCTAGAATCAAAAACATCCAAAATGATTGYTAATGATAAAATATTAAGAATATGAAATAAATAGCAAACATAAATAAATCGGTTGCTTTGGTCATAAAAAAAGGCGTTCATACTTCGCTATACCGTATGACTCTACGTTTCATTGATGATATTAATGATGATAAATCGGTGAGACAAGAGTAGGAATCGGATCGAAATTTCTAGAGCGTTTTTTGTATACGTATACATAAGTACACTTTACAATGAGCAAGAGAGACGCCATCTCTATCGATGTTTATGCCGAGTGGGTGGATAATATGGAGGGCTGAATACACGGGTCAAGGTCGGCTCAGCTGATACCGGGTACTGCATTTCTTTGTCTATCTGAGTTAGAAACACATTTTTCATGTAAAAAAAAATATTTCCAGAAATAGCAARTCATTGGGTAGAAATTATACCCCAGAAGTCATATACGAAAAATTAATGTAAAGAAAATTTTGAAATTTGGGCAATTTTTGTCGTGAATAATAAAAATCTCTAAAACCATATTTTTGCAAGCTGCATCAATTTAACCGATAGAAAAATTGTTTGAATGTTTTATCAGCGAAACAGACGTTTTCTTTATAACTTGATGACAAATTCACGGATAAACGTAGTTTCAATCGCATCCTCCGAAAGTGTATGATCATAATCGTAGCTATGAAACGTGAAAAAAAATCTTGATTCAAAAAAGATATGACCATGAAAAAAACTGTGTTCTTAACGACTGACGACTATAGAAAATACGAGTATTTTTCACGTTTATACAAGTTGGCTTTCAATAAATTCTTAATGTTCTTTCGTCATAGAAAAATATATAGTGAATGGATTGAACTGAAAAATCTTCCTTGGTAACCGGAAAACTATATCTATGCCGCATAGTAGTACTCACACCGACCCACTATTAAACCTACTCTTGACGTATTCACACTACCCGTTCACCGAGTTTTCTTTTATTCACGCAGGATATGAATAACTAAAGGCAAAATTCCCTTGAATCGAAATAAAGTTGTAAGTGGTTTTTTTCGAAACTCTGAAATTAAAAAATAGATATATTTTCTCAAACGTTGGGTAGCTTTATTTCGAAGATGTCAAATCCGATTGTAATCACTTCCGAAGCACTGAAACACAAACTTTAATTTGTTTCTGAAAATGAGAAGAGCAAATAAGAGAAATTGGAGTTCCCATTTGTACACAAAAAATAATCATGCGATAAGTAAAAAAAAATATCTAAATACTTCGGTTTTTCAGTTCGTGTGATTAATTTTGAAGATTATCCTTGTCGGTCTTTTTGTATTGGAGATTTTACTAAAATTATTAAGTAAATTTGTGTTTGGAAAAACTTTAGGGCAAACTTAGTGAACGAGTGGAGAAAAACCTGGATATCAAGAAAAAGGAGCGCCGTCCATTTGACGAGATCACAATTTCAGATAATATTTTTGCACTAAGGACTTCTGTTTTCTGCTAAACAAGAAAAGCGAAGGGGTATAATATTTTGTTGACGGTGATGCAACAGGTATGAAGAAATATTTTCAGATTTTTATGATATATTCTTAGCAATTATTTATAATTTGGGCTTTAGGATCTCAACCACAATTGACACAACTAACCCGATATAAATATATCATTCATTCTAAGAGCCTATGCTTCTTTAAAAACTAGATTTTTTTTTTCAGAAAAATATTATTCAAAGCATGAGGCTACAACCACCAAAAAAATAATCAACATAGCTGTATTTTTCGTTTTTTTTAACAGTACGTATATTTCTCGGCTCCTGCCAATCGCATCATCACTGAATAGGATATAAGACATATTCAAAGCGATGGTCCCCGTATATTATGAAATATGAATATAACACTTATAAATATTCAACTAGCTTGAAATTCTACAATTCTTAGCTCTCCGAATAAACTAAAGAATACTTATTCATAAATATGATTAGTAAGGAATCGTTAACCGTCAACCGAACTTGATTGCCACAGCTATGAACGCCGATTTATCTTCTAGAAGAAAATATAATAAGCTTTTGAATGAGCATATTCGAGGATATCGCTGCCTTTTGATTTAGAACGCTGAAATTTTATTCAACATTTTGATAAAATGGATGGAGAGAAAGAAAATACTGAGGGGAAAAGGAAAAAAGAGGATAAGAAAGAAATAGAGAAAATAAGTAAATCCTAAAAATGTATGTGGATTTTTAGTTTTTATTTTACCAGTTCCTGCAGCACCCCCACCTTCGTTATTTTAAAAACCGCGTTCTTGTAGTAGTGATTATGGTCAATAAAACAAAGACAGAACGCGTAAATATGACATCACTGATTCATTGATAATTATGTTTCATCACTACTAAATATTTAAGGCATTTCCTTTCAAGAAATCTTTATGAATCTGAAATTCTACTACCTAGAGATGAGAGAAATTGTCGGTCTGTACTCAAACACTAGTCTTTACGGCGAAGCAAACTTTTTGCCGAGATATCGTTCACTACCGTGAGCGGAATTTATATAGAGAGTCACAAACAATCGGCTTTTATTATATTTTGTTGAATACTAGATTGTTTCGATGCCCAAATTATGCGCAATTATCATGATTACAAAACAGCAACTGCGTTTCGTCAATCGATAACAACAGATTGCATACGCTAAAACTCAGAAATGGTTTTCGCAATACTACAAAGGTTGTAGCTTTGCGTAATGTAATCCTAAAAATCCTAATACGATTTGAATTTCAAGGATTCATACTTATATGCTTATTATCTTTTTCAACAACCAAAAAAAGTTAATAAATTACTTCAAAAATGAATAAAAAACTCAAAATGTGAAGCATTGACACTTTAAAAACTTGATCGATTCGGAGGGACAAATGCGCGCGCAGCTAGCTGAATTTATGGTGCAATAAGATTTCTAGATAGTGAGAAAAAGCTATTAGTTTTGAGTAAATGATAAGCAGAGAAAGATCTTCAGTCTAACTTATAACATGATCCAACTTGATAAAGTTCATATCTATCTTCTGTCGAACTTCAGTGAAAAAAAAAGACAATATCGCTATAAACTTGCGCTGTTACTGAAACTTGATTTTGTATATCAGGCTAGTAGTCTAGTTCAGTACGTGGCTGAAAAAATACATAAATATTAGCCTAAGTACATATATAGTCACGGATGTTGTTCCCTGCGAAATTGTTTATCGTTTGACTTAGAGAAGTACGAGACGATTTTTCAGTCAATATTTGGAGAGTCAAAGTGCTAGAAAAATCCACGAAGAAAATTCAAAGAGGTTTTCTAATCTTTCTTTTGTTCCTTGAAGCCTCTTTCGTAAGACCATTAAAAACACCTTACTTCCTAGTTGAGAAAAAAATGGTTGTCAAAACAAACATTTAAATTGAAAATTACGTAAAATATAATGGTCCAATAGTGTGACGTTGGTCTTATGCTATGAAACTCTGCTATTTTTTAGACGTTCCGCTTGCTTTCAAGTTCAATTCTATGCAATAAGTGGGAAACACTTTACTCCTAAGAGATGGGGCTTTAGGGTCATATGTACAGCTGCAGTATTGTGCAATACGTACAGCCTTATTTCTCCTTTAATGTCTTCATAAGCTGTGAATGGATTTGTCAATTCTAATTTATTCAATCCGCATCATCGACTTAAAATACGTTAGCTTGATACCGATGCCAAAGAGGTTTTTTTTTTTCACCATTCAATACTTTATTTACTGACCATCCTCTATTTAGGGACCATTTGTCAAAGTCCAAAAGAGGGTTTTTGCACTAATTTATACCTCTATTTCTGCCTAACCTCTATTTAGCAGCAAGTTGTGAAAGTCTCAAAGAGGGCTTCTTACTCCGTGCCTTGTATTTAATAGAGGGGGTTAGGTGTCTCCCTTGATTTGAGGGTTTGTTTCTCCGTGTTCTCCGCTTCAGTTTTCCTCCCTGGACTTAGATCAGCCCAGAGGTTGTTTCAGAGTTGGATCTGTGAGTTAGCCATGCCCTGACTTAGATCAGCCCAGAGGTTGTTTCAGGGTTGTACTGTGAGTTAGCCATGCCCTGACTTAGATCAGCCAAGAGGTTGTTTCAGGGTTCAATCTGTGAGTGAGCCATGCGCCGACTTAGATCAGCCCAGAGGTTGTTTCAGGGTTCAATCTGTGAGTTATCCCATCCTCAAAAAATGGGATTGAGATTTGATCAAAACATAGGCTAGGACTATGGGATTTGGTGAAAATGGGGGCTGGGAAATGTGATTAGGACTCCCCCTCCCCCACCTTCAGGACATTCTTAGAATAATTTCAAAGGTTAATCGTGCTGATTTAGCACCTGAGTAATATGCTGAGTAGTTCAGTGTAACGCAAATTTGGTTGTGCTTATCATCAGATGATGTCACGTTTGACGTCATGTCGCTAAGCTTGACGTTACTTAAACAGGTGTAGGCGGCAAAGTGATGGCGATTGGTTTGATTTGGATTCACTTGTCAGATCTTTGCAGATAAGAAAGACTCTAGCTATGCCAGGCAAATGAAAAATCCTTTTTCTTTTCGACGAAAGTAAATCAACAGTCTGTATTTTGGGAGGTTCAGTATACAATAATAGAGAGTTTTAGATTTACGTTCACGGCAAACGTGAAACGTCAGTTGACCAGTAAAAAATTCTTTTAAATTACTGAAAAAGAATCGCAAAAAAGTCCAAGTAGTAGAAAAACAAAAGAGTATTTTCGCTTGGTGAGAAGGTTTGTAAAAGGTAAAGTAAAATAAAGGAAAACTATGAAAACGTGGTTCACGTTTGCCGTTTGCGGGGAGAAAAAAGTCAACCTAAAACTCTCTAATATTGTTGTACTCGAGTCGTTTAGCTACAAATCATGATGTCAGTAAAACATGCAACTTAATTCCTGAAGAAATTATGACAGCAGATGCATAAAATACATTTAAATTTAAATATAGACTCAAGACCTTTTTCGAGAATTATTTCATATAGAAGATTCCTTAATTTATTTTCAATGATTGTTTTTGATCTATCTCAGGTATGGTAAACGCATAAAGATTCTTATAAGCGTAAAAGAACCTCTACTTCATTATTTTTATCTTTTTCCTGACAGAGCTATTGCTCGATAATAATATTATGAATATTTTCTATGAGCTTTAACACTATACGAACCAACTACGCGCAATTAGCTGACGAATCCATTCATTTTTGATATAGCCTTAATCTACGTTAATCCAYGATTACTAAATATCAATTCACAGCGCCCTCTTGACGATGTCCTTAACAACTGAGCTGATCGTCATATTTACGAGCTTTAAGCCTTAGTGTCTTGAACTGATGAAACTACTTAGGGGATGCCTAAAGGGGATCTTCAAAAATAATTCCTTGTCATCCGTTTCCTTTCGAGGGAAAGTTTTTTTCACCAGTGTTGGAAGCGCAACGTAGCACAACATGTCTGCCAGAAGTTAGTCTTCCTTTGCCTAAGGCTGAATTTGAGTACTTAATACATAATCTGACGAAAACTATGTTTTAAGTAGCAAGAGAATTTACACGTGTGAGCTGACAAGTAACGTGCATGAGAAATGAGAAGCGTCAGTTGAATATGACTGCTATGCAATTATGTAACTATGTAATAACTGCTCTAAATCTCACGTTCTGATTGGAGAGGAGCGCGTGCTTTATAACTCCACACAGCATGCGCATGCGTTTTCTATTTTTTCAATAATTAATGAGTTTTTAAAGTGATCGATCCCCCCCCCCCCTAATCGATACGGGGGGAAAATCAAAGTTTTAGATTTCCTAAAATATTAATTGAATTCATAAGCTATAGTTATTTGAGTTATTTATATTGAACAATGTATATTTTTCATTTCATTTCGTTTCATTTCTTTTCTCTTCTTTTCTTTCTTTTTCTTCCTTTTTTTCTCTTCCCTTCCTTTTCCTTCTCTTCTCTTCTCTTCTCTTTTTTCTCTACTTCAGTGATATGTATTTATTTTACATATCTGAAGAATTTACGAGGTTTAAAAATGATTGCGTTACAAGGGCGGGAAAATACGACCGACGCGCGTTGGACTTTTCGCGCTAAAAACCTAATAAAAGGAAAATCGCCGTGTATTGACGTCATAGATTATAAGATTTTTTTTCTAAACACAAAGACAAAAATTTTGAAGAGGAAATTGGAGTGGAATAGGAGTGATTAATGAGGATACGAAGTGGTCAAAGACGTCAATTGTGGCGGGATTTTGAAAGCTTGTAAGAGGAACGATCGTTTAAATCCTTCAAATAATAGATTTAAAACTCTTTTTGACGTGAAATAAAAAAAATACCACTAAAGGGTTTCATTTAATATGTAAAATATGCTTGTCGCCTTGAGCATTTTCCGCTTGGGCCTTCTACTCTGCTTGCTTGCTTTTAATTTTTCACTTGAGAGCAAAAAACTATGGATTTTCAGTTTACTTTTGTTGAGGCTAAACAGCAACCATGGATTATAAAGCCGGTAAGAAAAACTTATAAATGCKTAAAATTTATTGCAAAAATAGTCTGTTTATAAATCTTTAAATGCAACTCGTTTTTGAATAGTAGATTCCAGATTCTTAGTCATTGAATGTAAAAAATCGAGTATATAGTGTAAAGCTGGACTCAATTGCTTTTGGAGGAATCGAGTGATAAATGCCGACAAAAATCATATAAACAACAAACTATGAATATATTATAAATCGAGTTATTATACATCGAGTCGGATGATAAAAGGAGAGGTGATTAGTTTGAAATGCGGGCACTGATGGGGGTTCAATACCAGGGTTTCTTTACGTCCTCAGTAGTTTTTTACGCCCCTGCGTTATCGGWTTAGTAGCTGGATGGAGTGTTGAGACAAGGGTGGTAGTCCTAAGTCTAACTTATACTTTTTCCTCAGTTATTTTAAGACCCCGAGTGTTGGTCCGGCCGAGGATTGAACCAACGACTTCTTAATTGACTCTCTTTAGCTTTGTAAAGGTTTTAGGTTAGTGCTTCATGTACGGACTACAAAAAATGCCACTACTGGATTATTAATTATCTATTATTGATAATAACGTCCTGAAACCCTAACCACCCCCCTC